CGTCAGTGACAATTGTGCTTTTCTTTTAATACGTTTTGTGATGAATCACAATCATTAATCGATGCATATTCCAGTGCTCTGACTCAAAAAATGTTGACATCAAGTAGGATGTAAGCTTTCTCAATAAATATCTTTATTTACAGATGCTAAATAAATAGCCTTATATATTATTATTGTTATTGCACAAAATGAGACTAATAGCCAACAATCTAGCGTTAAGTATTACAATTAGACAGAAAATTAGGATTTCAATTTTTTTATACTATATTTATCCTGTTAATTAAGGATAAATTTGTCTCTGCATTTGACCCATCCCTATATATGGGGAGCAGTGGGCTGTCTGTGACATGCGACACGTCAAAGGCCATGGTTCGAACAAACAACCTTGTGGTCACCAGACCACCCTCTTAACCCAGTGAGCCACGGTTGCCCACCTTTTCCAATAAAGAAAATCTAAGAGCCAATCAGCTCTTTGATCCGAAGACAGCAAGAAGTTTCCCATCATGCCCTGGGGTCATGCAGTCGGTGGAGAGCAACTGCAGCGCCTGGCTCTAAAATCTGCGGCCGCCTCGCTCACGTGAGATCATCGTTACGCACGTTTTCATGACGTCAGAGCAAGTCGGACGCAAATCTACCCAGCATGCATTGTGCGCCGATCGCCGGTGATCGATTCTGCACACGCCTGGCTTAAGTCGAATGAGCCTATTGTGTGTCATTCGGCACGCTGGCCAGGTCGTGCGTAAAAGCGGTGATTAATTAAAGGGACGTTTTAGTGGCATCTAGTGGTTTGTGGCAGCTTGCTACCTAATAAAGAAATTGATGAGAAGGATAGCGTGGTTCTATTGTCGGTCCAGACCGATATTTCTCAACAGTTCGAAGAATTGCCAGGAAATGTTGAACCTATATGCCATTCCCATCAACAGCTGCTATTTGTGGTTAGTGCTAATTAGCTAATGTTAGCATGTTTAAATCCGTGCTAAACTGAGATGGTGAACTTGTAAACATTATATATGCTTAGCATCAGTATACGTTCAGTATATACGTAGGCCTACAGGGTTCCCACAACTTCGGAAAACATCGAATTCAAGGACTTTCCAGGCCCAATTCCCTCAAATTCAAGGACCCAGCACATCACAGTGTGAGACATCAAACAAGATCTATTATTGATGAAACACTGACAATTTTCATAATGAGAACTATGGCAGGCTTCACAGAAGCTCACACACAACGATTTAAAAGAGGCTTGAATATGTTGAACGCTTCTCGGCTGTGTTACAGTCATGACAGACCATGTTCTCCTGTCTTCTCTAACACAGCAGAGGAAAAAACTATATACTGTGTAAGTTAAGTGATCATTTCTATTCTATTGTCTATTTGTCTATGTCTACTTTCAAAAATTGTCAAGGCCTCAATTTTCCCCCTCAGACAAATGTTGCTGGTCCCTGTGTGCCTCTGCCAAAGCTCCATGTTGGAGCCATAAAGCAGAGTGTGGAAATCAGGAGATGGAGAGAGGAGGAGGTTGGGGCAGAGTTGTGGCAAACCAAAAATCCTTCCCTCCTCTCCTCTCCTCACCATTTGATGTTTTTCCTCTCCTCTGTGATCGGCTGATGTCCTCGAGAAAAAGACCCACGAATGAAGGCGAGATTAATCGAGATGTGCTTGAATAGAGGCAACTTTTAAATCTGCTCTCACTTTTCTTGCACACATGCAGATTGCAAGCCTGCCCCTTCATCCCAGTTTGATTCCAGGCAGAGGCAGAACCATATGAATTATAGATCAGCTTATATTCCAAAAGATCCTACGTAGTCAGGGGAGAAGAAACTAAACCAGCTCTCACGTTAACGCAGTTAAAAACAAGTAAACCCTCCCATTCTGCTGGGTCAGTCACGTTTTTCGGATCAGAAACAATTAGTGTGTCTTCTCTTCTCAAGCTCAATCGATAGAAAAAATCGACAGCATGCGGCGGGCACAGAACATGGTGTTTAGACTTTGGAGGAACGGATGGCACAATCCAGTTTGTTGGTAAACCAAATCCTCACTTAAATGAGAAATCCACACAGTGCTGCTGCCAGTTCAGCTGCAGGGCTCTGGATCAGCCTGATTACTTTGGTCTGACTGCAGCAGATCAAAGTAATCCCCAAATACTAGAGAAGAACGTACACGGAAACAACCGTGTAGTACACTGAAGAGCATGTGCGACGATGTGAGTGCTGTACATGTTGTCAGTATTGAGTCAGTGAAGATGCATGTGTGCATATGTGTGTGTGCGTGTCCATGTGCATGTGCAAATCTATGTCTACTTGCAAAAAGCTGCAGCGTGCGTTCGTGTTGGCTTGCTGCAGAAACAGAGCATGCTGGGTTTTTATAATCAGGATTCAGGGATCGCCAGTCAGACCTGTCCTAAAGCTCCCAAACAGGGAGAGAGGGGAGAGAGGGGAGGGGGAAGGAAGAGGACAGATGGGGACACGGAGACACTAAGGTCCACGTTTTAACGCGAGGGATGCAGCCTGAAAAATGGGACGTTGATGGAGACAGGCTCTAAGAGACAGAGACTGATGATTCCACTGAATGTATCCCTCTCTCCGACAAGCAAGTCAGAAAGAATCTGTAGTCATGAGAAATTGACTAATATTAAACCTACAATCCGACTGTACCTCCTGAGGATACAGATGTTTTTTTTAAAGATTAATCTGATTCTAAAAAAAGCAGTCTTTACACTTGACAGAGGTACATTAGTGTGTCAACAACATTTTCGACCTGTTCTTGTTAGCTCCAACTAAAAATAGAGTCAATAATATGTTAAATATTCTAATGTGTTGCATCTGTGACTGGTGCACTGAGGCAAACTCAATCACTGTAAATGTTAATATGTGTGATATTATCTGTCTGCTTTCCCCCCCCCCTGCGTGTAATAATAAGTGCACTCGCATCATGTGTGTGTGTGTGAACTACACACAGTGCCAGCATGTGTACACACAGCAGGTCTCATTTCCTGATTCTCCGGTCAGATGCTGGTTTCTTTTTTGAGAGGCGAGGCCCACAATGACATCAGCTTCCGCCAACACACCAGCCATCTCCATGGCACCGCACAAAGACACTTCTGGCCCAGAGGGAGGGGGAGCATCATGCTTGACACGTTTATAGGAGAGGTCTCTGCGCCCCTCTTCTCTTTTACTCTCCGACCCCTCCTCTTCCTCCTCCTTCTTCTTCGTTCTCTCAAAACTGTGTTTGTACAGCCGCCTGCTCTGTTTACTAGATCATCAAAGAGCTTCTCTGACTTCCATGGCCGTAGTCTGGCCTGCTCTCTCTTTCCGTTTTCGCCTCACAGCCTTTCTCTTCCCTTCCACTAATGGCTAATGCTATCCATTAAGTCCAATTTGAAATCTTTCTTACTCAGCCTTCTATTTTAGACTTTCCTTCCTCCCTCCCCCTCTGTCGGTCTCTCTTCTTGTCGAATGGAGCCATGACTCCAAGGGCAAAATGCTTAGTGAAGAAGTGACCACCCAGTGGGCTTTGTCTAACTCTTTGCCCCAATGGACAGAAGGCCTGTGTGTGTGTGTGTGTGTGTGTGTGTGTGTGTGTGTGTGTGTGTGTGTGTATGTGTGTGTGTTTGTGAGTTACACAGAGGTAAGAGAACCCCAAAGCAAAAAATATTTATACATCAATGTCTTCAAAATATCTTCAAAAGTTAGAAAATATCCGGCTAAAAAAACATCACAAGATGCCAACCTGTCTGGGGCGATATAGAGCGTCATGTTGTTGATGTCTCTCTTTCACTGAGTGAAATACCAAGTTCATTTGAATCGGCTTATTTAATGTGGATTAGCTTCCAATGGTTTAGGCCTGAACATTTTTTTAAATTATGACAGTATTACCTCAATTTTAAGGTCTATGACCAAATTATTACTCCTTATTATTGTTTTTTTTATCTGAGTATTAAATGTAGTTAGCAGTTTGGTTTGGATCTAAGCATATCAACTAGTATTATCTGAGAATGAGTCAATTTAATAATCACACTGGAAACATATTGTGATGGGGAGGATGTCCCTCTAAAGATTTTTGTCACAAACCCCTAGGGGGTTAATAAATATCCAAAAAATGTTAAATTTAGCTTCAAACTAATGCAAATGCTTGAATCTCCTCGTTGGATCGCCAACATGAATTTCTGTGTCTGTGTTTGATAAATAACACACAGATGCTTCCAGACCAACAAAGAATAATTAGATCAGGTGACTTCAAAATCTGATGCTGTGCCCAATTCCCAAACAAAAACAAAACAGATGAACCCGAACAAATGTGTGTGGGCAAAAACATCGACTTAACTGACATGGGGCACAAGCTGTTACATGTGGGTGGGTGCCACCAACAACGAGCAGTGTGTTAGTTGTCTTAGTTGTTCCCTGGCAGCAGATAACAGCTGTATACAAATACAGATCAAACTTTATTTCCTGTCATTAATTTGTATTGATGTAAGATGTATTATATACGAGCGGTGGGTGATAAATATCCCAGTATTTATTAGGCAAAACTACTCTGTGTCAACCTATAATAATTCATTTCGTAGTTCAGTTTTTAATAACCAGTTCATTCTCACACCACATGTAATTTTCAGACTTTTCCGAATGTTTGGTTAAGATAATTTGTATGAAGTCGTGGAACTCCTTTGGTCAAAATGTGTCTGGATCCCAGGTGTAACTCTCCCTCTCCCACTAGCTTTACATAAAGACCCATCCATTGATGAGGACATATCGCTATTTCCTCCAGGCTCCTCAGGTATTACAAATTCATTGAGCAGGAGCTCCTTTGAATGTGCAGACACCATCTGCCTGTACAGCTTCGCCTCACTCTAAAAATAGGCTCTTTCACCTGAGTTCCACTGTTCCTGCTCAGCCTTAGTTCCTTTCCTCTCTCCGCTGCCTAGCAGGATGTTCTGTCACACTGAAGTCTCTCCTCCTTGTGGCCAACAACAGAAAAAAAACAACCTCCACCCAGATTCCAGATGATGTCATATATTTTTGCACAGAACTGTCACTTTATTGCATCTGAATTTTTAATCAGTGAATAAACTTGAATCAAAATGATGGCACTCAGATGATACGTTTGTGTTTGAATGTCTAAAATAACATACGAGAGCTATTTCAGTCACGCTACAGGAGGAAAGATTATTGATCAATAACAGTATGAGAATGACACACAAGTAACACATCGCTACACAAGTAACACATCTCTTACGAGTCAGACAAAGTCACGTCTCAGTCATTTGATTGTGACAGTTTGTACAATATCCTGTCATGATGTATAGTAGAAATGAGCATAATACAGCTGTAGCTACATGTACAAGGTGCATCTTTAACAGTAAAGATCATGCCATCAACTCATAGTCTCCTTCATGTCCCCTCAGGCGGAAACAAGCTTGGAGTCACGCAGTCGGTACAGAAATGGCTGCTTCCTGTTTTCTTCTCACCTCACACAAGGTCAGGCGTGGTCACCAGAACTGTGCTATGTTGCTCCCGTTATGGCACCCCTTTTTTTTTTTTTTTTTTTTCCCCCCACCACCTCCACCACCACAGTGTCCCTCCAGTCTGAAATCAGTTGACACATTTCAAGCCAGTTTGACAGCACCCAGGAAGGTGGTGTCTCCATACAGGGACACGTTGGCTGTGGCACGAGGGATCAGCAGCTCCAAGTGGTCCCCGACCTCCAGCTTCACAATACCTAAGGAAGTCAAATGTACACTTCAGATGTTGAACTACCTTTTTTTCTTTTCTTTTCTTGCTACAAACAGCTATCCCCCTTACCCAACTACTGACACACATATGCAGCCAATTCACACACACACACACACACACACACACACACACACACACACACACACAAGCTTGAGAGCTTGACTAAAGAACACCGACTGACCTTCCGTAACAGCTGCTGTAACATAGCTTGACACAAACAACAACTCAATACTCGCCTCCTGTGTAGCAGGTGTTGTAAGGGTGGACGGGGTTCATATTCTGGATGCAGCGGAACAAGATCACATACTGAGGCTCGTCTCCCACCACATTCCTCTTCCTCCGGATCACCACGTGACCCATTGCAAAGGTGCTGTCCATGTAGTAGACCTGAGCACATCACAAACACTGGGCTCAGTCTATGCTGTGAGGCATGGGGGGGTTTTAACAATGTAGAAACAGTCAGGTAGGTGGTATATAATTTGCCACCTCATTTATTATGCATGCATCATTTGCATTTCTACTTCTTTATCTGACCTACTGCATGCTTGGATCGAGCACATTGTTTTTTCTTCCTGCAATGTGTGGAGATGCATTCCCCTCCCGTGTAAAAATCTGGTGATGGGCAAACGGAGTAGCAGCGCCTCCCTGTGGAAGAACTATGACACGACAACATGAACCGTCCTACCTGACTGTACACGAAGTAGAAGCCCTCCTCTGTGACTAACATGCTGTCTCCGTCTGTCTCCAGGGCAGAGCCTCTCCTCAGCCCAGCCTGCCAGGGGATGCCGGTGTGCGGCTCCGAGTTATATTCTGTTCCCGAGGAAATACAAAATGAGAAATCACGTCAAAGCACTGAGTGCTAAATATGTATCGCAACAGTCTCCAAAGTAACATAGTGCAGGTCAGGCATACTGTACCTTTCTGGAAAGTTTTCCTGCTATTGTTTGCCAACAACTGCAGGAAAGGCTGAGAAACTATGACAAAACATACAACAATGTTAGACATGTTCATACTGGCCAGAGGCCTCCTCACAATCTGCACATTGCTTTCCCCGTGGCCGTCTATCTCTTTTCCTTCTGCTCCTTCCCTTTTTGTTTTTTGGGAACAATTCCATTGCCAAAGTCAGCACTTAGCAACAGCTTACTGTAAATATTGATGTCCTGTAAAAGCCCAGGGATTGTTCAATAGCTTATGAGCTGATGGTTGCATTATCTCACCACATCAGGCGTTTCAGTTTTTAAGTGATTATCACCAAAGCTGATGTGTCATCCACACTTGGCTATGTTGTTTTTTTTTACTTTTCTGAATCGCAGGTCTCAGCGTAAAAGGCATGTACAGATTGCGAAGCCCATTTGAGCTGTATAAATAAAAATATCACAACACTAAGGAATGGATTGAAGAACTTAATCCCCACCGTAAACCCTGGAAATGAAATCGGTCACACCCTGTACACTCCATGCAAACTAAAGAAACTACTATCTGCATCATACATTCACAGTGAACTGTCAGTCTTACCTAATGCCTCTGATCCGGAGACCAATCTTTTCTTTCGTATTGGGGGGAAAGCATGTGGAAAGCCAGGTGGGTGCAGGGACTCTTGGCTGCTCCTCCTACCGATGTTCTCAATCTGAAAAGACACATTGAAGTGTTCAGAAAAAAACAATACATGTTGGCAAAATGTCTTTCCAAATCTGTGCAGATGAAGATGTCCTCGTGGACTAGTTGTCTCTCACCTGGCCCGCATGCTTGGCCTCTCGTCCGTCTTCTCTCCTGCGACCGACCTCTGATTTGAGTCCCTCCACCTCAGCCCTGAGAGCCACCAGTTGGTACAGGGAGAACGCTGAAAGAGAGGAGGAGGTGACTGCAGCGAGCGTCAGCAGGAGAACTGGCCAGGACAGCCTCCCTCCACCTGGCCTTTGTCCAGCATCAGGCTTCACACCTGCCAAAACTTCCATTGCGGGGCCCAAACAGTCTCCAGAGAGCTCACACCGGCAGCATGACCAGCCTCAGGCCTGAACTAAGCTGCCTCTCTGCTGACACACTTGGGCAAGGAGTGGTGCGTGTTTGCTGCTGTCATCAACGGTGTCTTAAACTTTACCTTAATCCCGGTTTAAAAGCACCGCTGGCTTCCTTTAGTCTCGCTTTCTACTTCAGTAGCTGGTTCCACTTTAGTCCGTCTGAGGGACTATACGCAGAAGAAATACTGTACAAAGAAAGGGCACAACAGCTTCCCCTCTATTGTTCCGCTCTGCTAACCTCACTCGCTGCTTCCTGCCTGACCAGCAGCCCTGACAAGTCCTCTTTCTCGTCATCTCGCTCTTTAAAAAGGATAAAACACATCGCAGCTTCTCCACATTCTAACAAACAAGCCATGTGATCGTGGAAACAGGAAGGACAGGTTGGCAGCGAGACGAGGGACTGGTAGGGAAATAGGGGGAGAGAGAGAGAGAAAGAGGGAGAGGGAGAAATAAGACATAATTATCGGCACCGTCACATTTGAACTTTACAGTTCGAGGAGCCAACATGCACAGAAAGAAGGAAGTACAAAAATTACTTCAACTTTGAATGGCAAAACAAACAAACTGCGATTCCCAGAATAAAAAAAGTGAAGTGACGTCAGGTTAGATAAGTGAGTTTAGAACTGTTACTTTAAAAAAAGAAGCTTATTTACAACATCTAACAGGACAAGCAATTTCAATGTATCAATTTATTGCATGTTACAGTACAGAAAATAGAAAGTGAAAATGTGTGCTTACAAAAAGAAGTCGACATTGTTTTGAAATAGAAAAGAAAACATAAGGGAAATGGAAAAAAATCCCTCAAACTGACAGCTTGGTGCTGAAGATGAGTCATTCAGATGTCCCATCAATGGTTCTGCCATGTGTCGCTGTAAGTCATGGTAGGTGTACACACACAGAGTCAACACTGTGCAGGTCCGTTACAGGCTCAATGTTATCACATGCCGGCTTGCAAACACTTTCAACAGCATTCATTTCACTATTAACAATCATAGGAGCATATCTAATATGTTCCAGAGTGCATTTGCAGAACACCTGACAAATGATTTTCTTTATTTAAAAAAAAAAAAAGATGGAGAGACATTCAGTTTGATTCAACAGGGTGTTGTACAGTAACAATACATTTCATTAATTTAGCTTGAGGCCAGCCACCAAAAACAATAAATCAAGTGACTGATGAGTTACATCTTCTGTTGAATGAAGACTAACAGCAGACAGACGTGTGTAGAACAAGGCGTTTGGAAGTAAAGGAGTGCACAGTGTGCTCTAGCAACACATGGAGGGACAAATGGAACTCGGTTTATGGATTCGGTAAAATACAAATAAACGTCTGAGTGTTCTGAGCCACTGGAGGCAAAACGAAAGGAAGAAAAGACCATCGATACGTTACTTCTTGTTAATTGAAGACCACAATTTACATTCATAGTAGCCTTGAGACCATTTTTAAGTTCACATTGAGACAAACAAATTAGGCCTTTTGATGTTTGTTAAATGTAGTTTAGCTTACTTTTTTAGAAACAATATGGCTAAGGAGACATGTATTCAGAAGGCTCTGACACTGCTGCAGTGCAGCATGTTGCATTTGGACATTAAGAGCAGGAGACCGGGTTTTAATCGTCGGGCTCTCCTCTCGTCCCAGGAAGTCGTATAGGAAAGGTTAATCCGCTCATTAAAAGCCCTCCTAAAGACATTAGGATAAATAATCTTGGGGTGAGACGAGAACAGAAAATCTTCCAATTAACAATTATGATGCTGATAATGGCAAAGTAATCACCTTTCATCAGAAATACTTACATTATTTCTCAGCTCTTTAATATGTTCATATTTCTTTCAAGACTATCGTAATACAATACTCACATACCCACACTGTATATATATATATATATATATTTGTATGTATGTTGACAGAGTAATTGGTCGCTGTTATCGGTTGCAAAGGGTCGATACATTTCTGGTACTACGAGGTCTTAAGGCATGTTTTGGAGAAGAGTATTTCCATTTAATTGAATTTTAAACATGCGGTGCTGAATATCACATGTACAGTTCATTTACCAGAATCCCATTAAATAGGAATTAATGGATTTTGTCTGCATATGATACGATACAAGGTTTGTTTTCAGCTGCATATGACACGGTAAATGCAATATCGGCAAAAATATTTGCCATTTCATTCCAGATGATTCCTGTAAATTCCTGCCAATTATCACGGGAAGTTTCCCAGTATTTTGCAACCCTGTTTCTGTTTATACTCTATATCCCGTGCTGGTTCTATTAGAATGTACGACATGGGGAACAGAATCCACTCCTTTAATATGAAGCTTCAGTCTGAGGAAGATCAAATGTTTTTTTCTACACAAATTCTCTCTTTTGGAATTTTCCAGACTGAGCCTCCTGTGCTCTGGGGGAGGAACAGCAACACAAAGAGGACATAGGATTCACCTTGGAAAGTACCCACGATTCCACTTACTGAGGCTGCTGAAGCCTCATTTTATCCTCTGCTCAATTTTGGATTCGACATTATATACAATTCTTCCCGATCAGTACGGATAGGAGGATTACAGCGACCGGCAACATGTCAGTGTACATACGGGCATGTGTTATAGAGTTGTACCGAGATAGACCTGAATAAAACTGCACCCATCATTTATTAACAAAACCACACACTGAGTAAACGCTCCTTACCAAACTACAGGAGCCAAAGTCACCAAATAGCAACTTAAGTCCATTCAACAGTAAGAGCTATCCTGCATGCTTGTTGTATTTTAACAGGCCAGTAACGGGGAGAAAAAAAAAAAATAAAAAAAAAAATAAATATATATATTTTAATCACTACAATATCATGTCATGCCAAGCTACTGCAACGATGATCCTCACCAGTTTCGGACATAAAACAAACATCCCAATGCTCCTCAAAGTATTGCTCAGAAGATGTCAGCCTACTCTGGTAAATCGGAACACAAAAAGTGCAATGTTATGAATTAACAAAGATACATACAGTACAGGCCTACATATTATCAGTGTCTCATTTTGGTTCCCAGAAGAAGTGTATTTTTTTTTTTTATTCCAGTTGCAATCACTTTTCACTGAAACATTGTAGGGGCTCATATGGTCATTATACTGTGAGCAAATGCTTCAGTGATGCTAAAACATTTCATAAGACCCATTACAGCAAGTCTTCTGCGGTTGTGACATGTCTTGCAGTATGGGCGTGTGTGCTCTGGCTTCATTCGATTAAGGTCAGAAATTCATGCATTCATAGCTGCAACACAAAAGAAGCCATGAGGGAATTGTTGCCCTCGTTTAAAACCTTTGAAATAGTCAAATCATGTTAACAAATATACATTTACATAAAGTGAAAAGGTAGAAAGAGTGAAATAAAATAGAAACCCAGACCAAAGCATTAAAAAAAAAAAAAAAAAAAGTACATTCTTTCCAGAAATCAATTAAGTCCATCCAATCAAGCCTTCGACAGCAGTCACTTCCTCCAGCTCACGACCAGTCAGTCCCCGGCTGTTTATTTCAGATGATGGTGACACTAGAGGACGGCTGAGCACTCTCCTCGTGGGCGTGGCTCTTCAGCAGGTCTTTCGTGAACTGCTCCAGAGCAGCAAAGTAGCCCTGACACTGCCAAGTGTCATTGTGTGTGCCCTCCTGAAAGATGGCAAGACGTTTAGTCCGCGCAGGAGACAGCTCGTATAGTTGTTTCATCATGACGGGTGGGATGAGCTGGTCCGACAGACCAGAGACAAACAGCGACGGCATGCGGCACAGCGCCACCTGTCGATAGGACAGGAACTGATTCCTATAACACCACAAGGGCAGCAGGCGCATGGGCAGGAAGGAGAAGAGTGTAGCTGCCATGTGGGGGATGCTGAGGAAGGTGTTTTCAACAATAATGGCTGCCACGCGGTGAGGGTTGACCGACGCCAAGCGCACAGCCACGGCACCCCCCAAAGAGCGGCCAAACAGTACCACCTTCGTCTTGTCCAGATCAGGACGGGTCATGACATAGTCCAGCGTGGCCTCGGCATCCAGGTGCAGTCCGTCCTCGCTGGGCTCGCCCTCACTCTTTCCATAGCCACGGTAGTCCACCAGCACCACGTTGGCTTTCAGATTGACCAGCATGAGCAGGGCGTTTGGCACCCTGTGACCAATGTTACCCGCATTACCGTGGAAGTAAAGGATGGTGGGTGGAGCAGAGGAAGTGGGGCTGCTTTGATTGCCGGGGCTGACTCCAGGAGGCCCGTCGCCTCCCGTGTAGCGAAGCAGGATGAGGTTGAGCTTCACGCCGTCCTTGGTGCGAATGTATACATTCTCATGAGGGATTCCTGTTGGCATGGGGACGTAAAGGCGAGAGGAGGGGGGCTGGTCTGGGAAGTAGAGGAGCACATCCTGGAATTTGTAGAGAATGCCCGCCACAGAGGCTAGGATCAGTGCGAGGAGAAAAAATCCCCCATACAGGTGGAAGGTGAGGATGAGGGCCAACAGGGAGACTCGACAAGCACCCCAGGACCAGGAGGCCAGAGTCAGGGTACAACGCTCTATTCCCGCCCACAGCCTCCAGGGCTTCTCCATGGCTAACCAAGAGCTGAGTCACACCACACACACTCTGCAAGTACAAAGAGAAGAGAAACAGGTTTAGTGTAAATAATCAAGGATCAAGAATGCACATAAGGCTAATTATCATTTGGTTTGTAATTATTTAATATGAAAAATGACACAGAAAGTGATGGTTAAAAACTGCTACAGTGCAATTAAGGAAATACAACAAATTCTCAAATTTGATAATCTTTAATATTACGTAAATAACTAACTAATAAAATCTATATCGGGTATATTTATGCCAAAACCGACATATTAACATGTAAACTTATCTTTGGTATCACTAACATAATTAATGTAAAAGTATTTTAATGAATCACCTCTGTTCTGACAATGTTATGCATATCAAACCAAGTTATTAAGAAGACAGCTACATGTTAAGGTTAGTGTGTGGCTAACTTTACTATCTCTCAATGGGAAAATAAAGACAATCAAGCATTAAATGAGGCACTATGTAAGTACATTTAATACTGAGGTCAAACATTATGTAAAACATGATCCCTCCCAGGCAGAGGACCTTAAACTAAGTTGGGAGTTTTGACCCTTAGCAGCCATGAATTAACCCCCTAATAACCAAAAAGCCTTCTTTGTGGTGCTAATTCTGTGACTCAAACCATTTAGCTACTGCAATCAGTCCAAACGACCACCGTCTGTCAGGCTGTCATTGCAGTGATTGTTTATGAGTATCAGGTGTGTTCAGCGATTTTAAGGGCCGGTGTACAACTACTCTTGATGAAGTGAAAATCCCAAACTGAACCTCATGAGGTGTGGGCAGAGTAGAGACAGATGTAACTAGTAAGTATGCATTGGTGGGGCTCTACGGGACCAGGAACGAGCACCAACGAAGAATTAATGTTGATGTTGCTGGGTAGAAATGGTGAAAACATTTATAAATATTACAAGGCTGAAAAATGTCTCGACCCCACCCACACACACACACACACACACACACGGAAGACATGGTGACAGCTGCTGCCAGCCCGGTGAAAAGCACATTAACGTTTAACAGTAACGCTACTGACATCTATCAAATGTATTTGAGGCGCATATGTCCGAGTCAGTATTACATAATGAATCACCACTAAGCACTGTAATGTTATGTGAGACTGTCAAACCGAGCTGTTTCCCGAGACGGCGATAAGCCGACCGTGTGACTGGACATAAAACACCATCTACAGTGACGTTAGCTAGCTTAGCTGCGAGCTAGCACCGTGACAGGCACGCTAACTATCGGTCTGCTCTTCTTTACTCCTATCGCCGCATTCTTTACCGTATAAATGAAGCCACCTATGTCTTCTATGGTTAGCCAGGTATAGCCACATACTCACCCTCCTCTCATTTTTAGCACCTCGGCTGCATGGATGTAGCACGTAGACGGCACCGTCACTGTCAAGCAGCTCTTAAGCAGTTAAATGAATTACAGTGACGGTAAACTGGTGAGAAACGCAAGGAGAACTATTGTTAGCAAGAACCGGCGAGGCTAGCTACACCACTTGCTAGCATTAACGTTACCAGAGTGTGTACCCTTCGTGAAGTTCCGTGCATTTCTTAGCAGCAAAAGAAAGGTTCCTTCTTCTTCTTCGTCTTCTTTGAAGTTTTACAGCAGCTGGCATCCTACATTTTGTATTACTGCCATCTTCTGGAGTTAAATAACTCCTACAGTGGCTGGTATGTCAAGTCTTTCTAATCAGTCTTGTGTTGAAAGCTGATGATGATCTTCCGTTCTGTCTATAAAAACCGGCATACAGTCTGTATATTTACATTCCTTAAAACTATAAATACCCTATTATTTCTTGCCTTAATTTGAAGTTATTTCAGATCTACCAACATAATTTTAAATAATCTCTCAGGGATTAAAGGCCACATTATAGCTGGAGAAAACTAATTTTCATAAACTCCCAAAGTCTCTCATCACTGCATGTCTGGTAGGTGGTTTCTCCCTTATTTTAGGATTGCAGCCCTTTTTTTGTTTGGTGACTATCTCCATGGCTTCTCAAATTCATCCAATAGTTCACTAGCTGTTTTCTGCATGAACACATTTCCGCCTGTCTCACCTTGTAGGGCAGACACTGGTAATGTTTTTACTGCTCCTATACATAATCTAAGAGCCCGGAACACATCTAATCAACCAATTACAGTTTCTCATGCGAATCCAAAAACCACACTGCCATAATTTAACCTCGATTCTATTACGCTTCAAAATATACTCCAAGAACCAAAATGTCTAAACTGTCTCTAAATTATTTCCAGACAGTTTCACTGAACATATGGTGACCACCCATTCTGTTAAACAGTGTTGCAGCATGTTGAAATACTATAATAGAGAGAGCAGCAACCACTACTCCTGTCTCATACAAATCATATAACAGTAACAGTGGGTGTTAATAACAGTGGTCTGATCTCAAATTGTGTGCTATACGATCTTTGCCCACCAGGTGCTGCTCTTGGAAAGATTATAATCCTGGAAATTCACTAAATGTAGGTTCATTTTACATTTTACAAGTAAAATCCCCAAATTAAAGTTAGTGGGATGCTTCACGATAATCCTAAATGCTGTGTTAGGGAGCAGATTGACAGATCGACAGGGGACTGTTGCTATCATATATCCATGACATCAAACCAAGCCAGGAAGTTGGTACGCTTTGTTGATGTAGGCCCACAATAATCTGGCCACCAAAAGGTAGATTCCCCGGAAAACAGGGTTTCAAAGATAAAGACTTTTGTAATAAATTTGTAACTGCTCTGTTGACACGCTGAGTGAAGTGTCCCTTGATGAAAGGACATTGAGGGCAGAAAGCATGTTAACCAATCATTTGAAGATTACAGCCTCCAACTCATCAGATATAAAACAAATAACCCAACATGGGGAATATGGAGTATAAAGCTCGTTAGATACACATTTGAAGATGATATGTTGATGTTTTGCCCTCTTCCCAGGTTAACTATTGGTATTGCCGTAACATCTAGCTCACACTCAGTGTGACCTTGGAGGAGACAGACAGATTATGTGCACACTAGCACAGCTGTTGCCCGTTCAGCTCTGCCCTTGAGGTTCGTTGATTTGATTCTGTGGCGTTGTAGTCAGCGTCAAAACCTTAGACAGATCACCCCTCTATTCTGTTAGTTATTAAAAGCTTCTCCGGCTACCAAAATAAAGTCACCAAAAATCAAGTCTGTGTGTGAAAACATAATAGTTGATTTAATTATCGTCGAGGCAGAAATGCTGACACTGGCAATAATGAGCCGCATATAGCTGCAGCACGGAGGCAGGTGAGGAACTTACTATCCACATGTAAACAATGATGTCACCATTGCTGGACAATTTGTTACCTCAACAAAAAGATGTGAAGATGTCGGGCAGACTGCAGGATTTGATATTGAGGCGTACTGTATTATGACATTTTCGCACAAGGAGAAAAGGTTTTGACATTTATGCAGATTTAAATTTTTGTCAGTAAAAAACTCAGAGCTCAATTTTATGTAAGAGCTCACTTGGAAAATGGCCCTTAAAGGGAAAAGGGTTTCGTTGAATTAAATGACAAATGAGGATGAGGGACTTTTCAATAGATTGACTTTAAGATTATGTCCATGTTCAAACTCCATTATTTATTCACACTCTTTCGAAAAAAAAGGGAAAAGCTAATTACACAAAATCATAGTGCTGCGGCCTTTTCACTGGCTGCAGCCCTGTAGAATGCAATGCAGACACTCACACACGCAAACACACAGAGAGACACGCACACACACACACACACACAGACACACAGACAAAGAGACACGCACACACTCGTCTCTTTAGGTTATAGGGAGTGCTGCACTCTGATGGATTCAACTATAAGAGACTGACAGCTGGCGAGTTTACTCTCTCTTATCTACGACTCAATTACCTTTGACATGCCAGTCAAAACATCTATTACACACACACACACACACACACACACACACACACACACACACACTGAAACTCTCATACACACACACAGGGTTACGCACGCTCTGTGGCTCAACTCTCGTATCCCACGACTCAATTACTTGAAATATAGCACTCCAAACAGCTGGAGGGCTTGAGCTCAATAATACAAATTCAGAGCGGCTACAGGATGGGGGGAGACTGTGATGACCTCGCTGGGAATATCATATTATCAAGCCAAGGGACATGCTTGTCATTCACCTCATGCTATGCAGCAAATAGCCAAGCGATTGATACACATTGATTTCTCTGTCAGTCAGCATCTTTTTTGGACTGGTGCTGCGACTTTATATCTTCAAGTGTAAGAGTTGCTGTCATTGCATTTTCTGCTGGGTTTGTGAAAGACATAGTTGAACTCATCTGACATCATGAATGATGACTCTTTGATTTGCAAGTCACTGAATGCCTTGCACAGGGTGATAGATGTGGTGTCCATGGCTACAGTAAATGTGTTGTCACCTTGGAGACAGAGCGTTGCTTTGAGTCAGAGAGGACGGCTACATAATGACGACTCCTCATTTCAAACACATCACAGAGGAGGGGGCAGATACGGCCAGGAGTTACATTTCACTGCAGTGCAACATTAAACTGCCTTTTGTTTCCTGTCATGCGGATTCATAATTAACAACATAAAAGCTGCTGTAGCTGTTGTGTCAGTCAACGAGGTTTAATGAGATTGCACATTGTACAGTGATGGCCTAATCAGCTAAGTGAAATAGGCAAGCCTACCTGGCATTGTGTGCATGCAGCATAGAGTGTCCTGAACATATGCATGCCAAGAATAAATTGTGTGGAAATTGATGTATGTCTCAGGTAGCAATTAAGCGGCCTCCTGTGGCGAAGAAGCAGAGATTTAATAAAGGCTATATTTCCCTCATTGCCCTTGCAAACACACCTTTTTTCACATCTATGATGATATCTATCAATCTAATTAAGCTGCAGATATAGGTTTGTGTCTATGTGTGTTCTCCTGTGTGAAATGTGGGACCTGTCTTGCTAAAGTGCAGGGAGTGGCGAGGATTTGGAGGATAAGCCATCCCAAACCAAAGCCATTCAGTGAAGCAATAAAGAAGTAAGGGTTATTGCGGTGTTTACACGACACAAATGTATGGATGTCACATCTTCCTACAGCTGAATCAAAACAAGACGGAGAACCTAATATTTGGGGCAAAGGCCCAGAGTCAGCAACTGTCACCCCTTCAGTCATTAGCCCTTCACACCAAGAACCAGGTCAAAAACCTTAGATTCTGACCTCGGCTTTTGAGAATCATCGATTAGGTTAGATCATTTCTCTTTTAGGCTGATACAGAAAAAATAATTCATGCTTTTATAACCTCTAGGCGTTATGCTCTCTTCTTTGGTTTACCTAAAAAAAGCTGTTGGCCATCAACAAATAACCCAGGAGCCCTAGTACTGAGACCACATACATTGTATGACTCCTATTTTAAAGTTATTGCATTGGTTCAGTTTAAGAATTTAGGATTTTCTTCCTAGTATTTAAAATACCGAATGTCCTGCCACCAGCCTATCTCTCAGACATGCTTTTTAGATATTTACCTACTTCTGCAGGTCCCTCAGATCTTTTGCTGGCCTCTCAGTTGTCCCAAGGATCTCAACAAAAACGCGTGGGGAGCCAGTGTTTAATCACTGTGGCCCTCGTGTCTGGAACAGTCTGCCTGAGGATCTGAGGGACACTTTTAAAAGAAACCTTAACACATCTTTTTAGCCTGGCTTTTACTTAAGTCATTTATTGCCTTAGTTTTTATTTTATTTTTCTAATCATTGGTTTTCACTGCCTACTATTTCTGTCTCTTGTGCCTTTTTAATTCTAGTGACTGTTATTCATTTGAACATTTTATTGTTGTTATGGGTTAGGGTAATTTTTTTGTCTGTGCCGTGTCGATCACATTTGCAGGACTTGTAGCTCCCTCTGTTCACACCTCACTGTGTTAAATATGCTCACCGTGAAAAGTGGATTAAGGAAGAGTGGTCAAAATGCTATTATCACACCTCTTTAGAGTGTGAATGATCTTATCCTAAGCTGTCGTTAATCTCCCGGTCTTTGCCCAACCACCTCTGATGGTAGAGATAGATAATTAGCACATTTAACCACTGTGCCAAAAATAAAGATGACAAGATGACTTTCAGAAGCTGTCTTTGGCTCTCCAGACACCTTGAACAGCCTCCACACTGGTAACATCAGTTGCCGGAGATGCTAAATAGAGCAGCCTTCAAGTGGTTTGTTAATGAAATTCATCGAAGTGTTTTTTTAGACAAGTATATGAATGCCAGCTTTTGTCAAGTCAAGTCAACTTTATTTATAGTAATCTAATATTACAAATCACTAATTTGCCTCAAAGGGCTTTACAATCCATGACACCTGCGATCGTTAGACCTTCGATTCTGTGCATAAAGTATGAAGGTAAAGCCAGGAGACAATTAGCCTAGCTTAGCTCAAAGACTGGAAGCAGGAGGCAACAGCTAGCTTGGCTCTTTCCAAAGTTCAGCAATATGCGCAGCACCTTTAAAGCTCACCCAATAACAGGTTGTGAACTTAAGAAGTGCTGGTAGCCT